TGTAAACAGTGCCTACAAAGGACGATACCATAGAGTCAACAATATTAAAGATACGACACCCAAAGCAGTTTCTAGTTACAATTAATAAGATTTATTAAGTCTTAATATAATTACAAAAGAAAAGAAAATATAATGACAATCTTCAACGTACAGTATGGTAGATCTTGTACCGGTACACAGTTAATACAGTTAGAATAATGTGCCAATGAATAATGATGAAGTGCGAAATAAACACATGAGTATGAGCACACAAATACACAAAGAATAACACACGTCTCGTGAAGTTAATAATTTCTATCTGAATCTCCGCCTCTTCGTATCTGTCAATCCTTTATATACATGCAGCGTAAGACGCTTCCAGAAGGACTTATGACGTGTTGTTTACATTTCTCGAGTTATAGTTAGTTATAGAGCACATTCGAAAAGATACCCGGAGACATACTACCCAATGTGTACTTGGAAGCCGATTGTAAACAAGATACATCAACGAGGTTTAACAACGCCCACAACAGACGTTACTGTCTGCTAGGATTCTAATTTAGGTCAAACAAATTCCAGTACGGGCAATGTATGCTACATAACACCTCCCCTCTTAAAAGAAAAAAAAATAATTTTTCAAAAATGGAATTCTTTTTTCCATTAAAAATGATAGAAAGTATATTTCTTCCTTTCAAAATATCGGACAAAAAACTTCTTCACAGCTTATAGACAATAACATAAGTTATATGGATAGTGAAAATTAATTTCCGGACAAGGTATCGGCTATGACATTATCTTTGCCTTTAATATGTTTGATGTCCAAATTATATTCTTGTAAAAATAGACTCCCTCTTAACAATCTTTGATTTTTGGAGACCATCTTATTCAAAAATGTTAAAGGACTGTGATCAGTAAAAACAAGTACTGAATTTAACGAACAATTGACATAAAAATCAAATTGTTGGAGTGCAAGAATTAAACCTAAACATGCTTTTTCCACTGTGGAATAGTTTTTCTGATGTGAGTTAAATTTCTTTGAGAAATAAGAGACAGGATGATCTACATTGTGGTCATCTTCTTGAAAAAGAACTGCACCAATGCCAACATCATTGGCATCTACAGCTGAGAGAGAGAGAGAGAGAGAGAGAGAGAGAGAGAGAAGAGAGAGAGAGAGATGGAGAGGGAGGGAGAGAGAGAGGGACAGGGAGAGAGGGGGAGGGAGGGAGAGAGAGAGAGAGAGAGAGAGAGAGAGAGAGACAGACAGACATTCTGAAACAAAATACAAGAAAAAATAGAAAGAAAAAAAAAGAGATGAGAGAGAGAGAGAGAGAGAGAGAGAGAGAGAAGAGAGAGAGAGAGAGGGAGAGGGAGGGAGAGAGAGAGGGACAGGGAGAGAGGGGGAGGGAGGGAGAGAGAGAGAGAGAGAGAGAGAGAGAGAGACAGACAGACATTCTGCAACAAACTACAAGCAATATTAGAAGGAAAAAAAAACAGAGATCTAAACATCATAATGCGAGCTCTACACGCTAAGATCGGGAAAAAAAACAGTGAGTACGAAGAAATTATGGGGCGAAAATATATAGGAGAGAGGAATGGGAACTGTAAAAGACTTGCAGACTTGTGCGCAGCAAATAAGCTTGTTATTTGGGCCAGCGAATTCCAACATAAAAACATACACGAGATAACATTGGTATCTCCAGACAACAAAAAGCAAAACCAAATAGATCACATATATATTGATTAGCAAACAAATTAGAAGGTCTCTACAAGAAGTACGAGCAAAAAGAGGAGCCGATGACGAACCCGATCATCATCTTGCTTGGGCAAGACTTAAGTTAAAATTGATGAGAAACTGGGAACGGCCAGCTGATAAACGAACAAAATTCAACATAGAACTTCTAGCAAATGAGCAGAAACAAGAGGAGTTCAGTGCTTAAAGAAATAAGTTCCAGGCGCTGGAAGACCAAACAAAGGATGGCCAGATATAGAGCATAAATGGCAAAATATAAGATAGTTGGACATCCACATGCAACAAGTTGTTAGGATCAGTGAAGCACAAACAGTAAAGGAGGAGAAATAAAAGAAAAGTGTAGTTAACAGCAGCCCCACCAGGCCGGAGAAAACGAAAGCACAAGAGAAATTAAATATAAAGAAGCAAATCGAAGGGTAAAAAACTGCATAAAAAAAGAAATAAAAATTCTAAATAGATGGCCTAGCATTAACAGCAGGAGAAGCAGCCAGGAAAGGCAACTTGAAAGAGTTACATAAGTTACATAAAAAGAAAGCTCTCGGGAAGATACAAAAGGACGGCGAGACATGTGAAAGTTAAAGAAGATAGAGTAATAACGGAACAACAAAAAAGATGGTTCGAATATTAAGGAACTATTAATAAACAGGCCCCCACCTACAGACACGCCATACATAAAACCAGCAAAGAAGACTTACAAATCGAAAAAGTACACCAAATAAATAAGAAATGGCCCTGGCTATCAATATAAAGCAGCTCAAAATAGGGAAAGCTTCGGGACAGGATAACATCACAAAAGAGATGATAAGAGCAGATTTAGATACAGTAGTAAACATGCTACACCCTCTGAAAATATATGGGAAGAAGAGAGCGTTCCAAAAGATAAAAAAAAACAGAATGTTGTTTTCCATTTTTTGCCAAACATAATGATAATGGAAGTTGTAAAGGCATACCTGGACAAACAAGGATGATTGATTGGTGGGTTTAAAAACAACATGCTGGGTTATGACTTGTTAGAGTCCTTTCTCCATCGGTACAAAAAACAACAACATTAAGACATGGGTGTGTGTCAGAATATTTAAAAAATGAGAGCTGGTTTTTTCGACAAGGTATCAGTGATTATATTACAAATATAGGCGAGTCCCTTCAAGAACCACCCCCCCCCCTCTCTTTTGAAAACATCAATTATGATAAAAACAAATCTTTCAAATGACCCTGAGCAAGATAGTCATAAAGGTACAAACGTATCAATTTCTGACTCATTTCTGGCCCATCTTTTAAGAATTGAGTTACGGCAAAGAAAACAAAACAAAGCCCCCAATAACGAGGAAAAGGCTCAATGTAGTACCTGGGAAAAGTGTAGGTAGCCCTGATGATATTGACTTCTTGAATGCCACCAAACCAGCTCAATCATTGGTACACCAAATAACTCACCAGTGACCCTACCTGAGCCATAGTCTTCTTCTTCTTCTTCATCTTTATGTCCCTTAGTCCTTGGACCTTTGGGGTGCCACAGATGACATATGAACCATCCTCCTCCATTCCTCTCTGTCTTCAGCACTACGCACTGCATCGCCCAGTGTTAGTCCTGTCCACTCTTTGATGTTAACCTCCCATCTTTTTCTTTGTCTTCTTCTTTTTTGCCCTCCTTTTGTGGTGCCCTGCAATATTTCTTTGGCAAGCCCTTGTTTCCTTGTTACGTGGCCGTACCATTGTAGTTTGCGTTTTTTCACAGTCACCAGTAGGTCATCATACTCCCCAATTGCCTGACGAACTCTTTCTTTCACTGTATCATTGGAGATATGGTTCCTATAGCAGATGCCAAAAATGATTCTGAAGCATCTCATCTCCATCGCCTTTATTTTCCTTTCAAGATCGGCTGTTAATGTCCAGGATTCGCAGGCATACAGGAAAATGGAGAGGACTAATGAGCGCATCAGCCTGATTTTGGTGCTGGGGGCTATATTTTTGTCATTCCATATTTTCTTGAGCTTCTTTTGTGCTGTTGTAGTCTGTGCAATCCCGGACATCAGTTCGAGCTTGGAGCCTTCTTCTGAGACTATTGCTCCTAGGTATTTGAAGCGGCCGACAGTCTCTAATGTATCCTCCCGACCTTAATTTCAGTGGTGATGCCTGGGGTATTATTTGTCATCAGATTTGTCTTTTCGGCACTGATTAGCATGCCGTAGGACGACGAGGTCTTATCGAGATGCTTTACCAGGTTGGCTAGCTCTTCTTCGTTCCCGGCCAGTCTGTCTATGTAGTCCGCAAAGCGTAGGTTGGCGATTGTTCTGCCACCAATGCTGACTGTCCCTTCATGCGCTTTCAGAGAATCTGACATACTTCTCTCTAGGAAGATGTTCAATAGGGTGGGGGAGAGCAGGCAGCCTTGTCGTACTCCAATCGTGGTCTTGAATCATTCTCCGATGTTGTTGTTGATGAAGACTGCACTAGTGGCCTTATCATAGAGGTTGCATATCATGCTGGTTAGGTTTGTGTTGATGTTGTAGTGCCTTATGGTGGCCCATAAAGTAAAGCAGCATGCCAAACCCTGTCAATGTCAAATGCTTTCTTGAAGTCAACAAAGACGTAGTATAGGTTTTGTTGGTTTTGAGCATATTTCTCACATAGTATTCGGAGGTTTAGAATCTGCTCAGTAGTGCCCCGTCCTTGTCTGAAGCCTATCGACATTAGGCAAAAACACAAGAAGTGATTCTTGTGGGGAACTGGAATCTGAGCTGCATATCCCATTCTCAGATACAGATGATGGAAGGACATTACCAAAAAAAGTCTCAAAGTCTAAAAATATTTTAGAAAAATATGCTTTTTTATTGTTTTATTTTAAGTTTGCATTTAGGTCGTTATTCACTATTCACTGTTACATTATTGTAGGTAATCTAAGTTTTAAAATACCCGTACCAGCATATGCTTTGATTAAGTTTAAATTTTCTTTTATATTGAATTGATATTTTTCGACCAAAGTAACCCCAAGTGGAGGTAATTTTGAAATTGACCGCCTCACAAAATACTAAGTTTGTGAACCACTGGACAACATCATGTATTTAAGTTTAAGTCATAATTGTCTATACACAAATTTAAAAAAAACTGGTTGGAGGGGGGGGGGGTCAATTCTCTATGAATGAGAAAACAAGATGAAGGGAGGAGGGGAAAATGAAGATTGATTTTTTTTGCATAACAGAATTATACCCTATATATGGAACGCCCTTTACATATATTCAATAAATAAAAAAAAAGGGTGGGAGGGGGGGGGGGGTCAATTCTCTATGTATGAGAAAACAAGATGAAGGGAGGAGGGGAAAATGAAGATTGATTTTTTTTTGCATAACAGAATTATACCCTATATATGGAACGCCCTTTACATATATTCAATAAATAAACATTATTATAATGTTACTTTTTGGAGTGATTATTTATTATTTATACAATGAATTATTATATGAAAAAGCAGCATACAAATAGCTGAAGAATGTTTTGGCCAACTCATTTGTCTTAATACATACTTGTATTGCTGGGTCTTTAGGAAGAGTCTGCTTTGAAGTTCCAGACTTCCTTTCCAAATTTCTTGCACAAACATGTCCTTGGATAAAAGCTTTGCTTTCCAGTTCCAGTTGCGATAATTGTTTGCTTTTTTTTGCAAATTTACCACCTCTATTACATCGGCGATTATATGCTACAAATTCTTCCCAAAATTCATCTGAATCATTTTTAAAGACATAGCCAGAACTTCCTTGTGCATCCCAAAACGTCAGAGTTAATTTAAATACAAGAACTGTATATTCATTAGAATGCTTAACAAAGTCTCTTGCATACTGGAAGTCCTTAGAAACATAAAATCCTTGACCGAAATCTGTTCTAGGGTCACCTTTTTTCACATTTATTCCAGAGTTGACTATAGCCTTGGCATTTTCTGAAGTTGTCCCATGATAAAATAAAATATATTCATTCTCAGGTTTTAAATATTCTGGAACAAGTTCCTTTTTTATAATCTTATCTATATTAATTATTTCAATCAATCCGAAGTGGTTACCTCGGCCTGGTAGAGGATAACTGGATTTCCCATTACTTTTACCATTGAATGGAAAAAGTTCTTTCCTGACGGGAAAAAGAAACAAATAAATATGTTACAATTTTTGTGAATAAGAAGGAAAAAGGGCATATGAAATATCATTTTTGAAAATAAATTAATCCACATTTCATTAAAATAGAGGCTGTAGTAGGCTGTATTCAATTATCAGAGTTAATTTAAGTTTTATATTTTTTACCTGCTTGCCATTGTAAAGTCTATTCTTGTTATTGATTACACAGTGAATGGAATATAACATAGAAATAGCAAGTCCTTTGTTTTCCAGGATATCTTTCTGAAAAATATTTTTGTGGGTCAGAAATTAAAAAGTTATTATTTATTTCAAAGTGTATTTATTTATAAAGATTGTGATTTATAATTTTTCAGCATAAAAAAATCATTTGCACCGCTACAACACCTTTTCTTTTTCACAAAACATGTTACTTCTAGAATCTCAGACATGGAACTAGAATGTCTTCCAGAATACTCAACCCATTATCTTTTATATTATTTATTTTTTCTGAATCAATTATCAACATCAACCAAAACATTACTCTATTATCCAACTTGTGAATATGCCTGTGCTTCACTGGGTGTGGGATCCTTTAATTGATTGATTTAAACAAATATGTATTTTTTTTGTTCTTATTAGCTCCATTTAATTGAGTAAGTGATAGACCATAAAAAGGAAACAGCTAACTAAGGTAGGAAAACTTTTTAAGTAGGGGAGGGGTTAATGGTTAATTGTAAGTCTCAAGTCACCTTGCGTTTTTCATGTGATGGCACACACATTTTTTGTGTGTGTGAGATGTTACCTTTATGTAATGCTTGCTTGATACAATCTACCATTTACTGTGAACTCTTGTTTAAATTTTTTTACTATTTATTTTATTTTGCCATGTAACATACTCTAGAGTATCGGTACCGTACCACATACTCTACAGTACAAGTATTTCTTATTTGTCCCAAATTGTCTTTCATTCACTAATGCATTTAAGCCTCTTACTGTCAAATCATCCCTCCACCGTTCTCCAGTGGTAGAGTTTTAAAAAAAAGGAAGTCTCCATTTTAACAGGAAAGTTTGATTTTCAATTTTGCAATCTATTTTGGCTTTGAGATTCAACATTGTAGGATATAAAAATTACAGTAAGTGAAATTTACTTGTATTGCAATAAATCTTAAACAAATAAAAAGGGTCAAAATTATATAGTTTCTTAGTAATATCATCCCTCAGCGCCACTTAATAAAAACATTAACATAAATGCAGTTTCTGTCTCAAAGACTACATTTCCAAATTTTAAAAATAAATCTTTAAATTGATCCATGTCGTTGGAAAAATAGGCACACTAAATTGATCGTGGGCCTTAAGATATAGAACAAGAAGAAGCCAATACCAGTACCAAGTTTTTGTATTTACTATTACCACCAGTATTGAAAGAAATAATAATTTTTGAATGCAAACCAGACAATCATAATATATTGAAAAATGAAAGGGTCTGCATCACTTGGTTTTGGTAATATTAAACCTATTTAAGTACTTCAAATGTGCAAAAAACATGTGTTAGAACAATGAATCCCAGTGACATCTTGTGTCTTAAAGAATTTTCTCCTTATGGATTTACCCAGAGTGGATTTTTAAATAGTATTTAATTTTTCTAGGGATCTTGACAGTATCAGCCTTAATGTTGTCAAGTTTCTAGGCTGAACGGAAGTGTTCCATTAATTCTGGCCTTTTTTTGTGATTGATCGCTCGCAACATATATAATATACATAAATAACCTTTTATTTCTTTTTCGACGACTCAGTAATTTTGCTTTTGTGGCCTGGTACCGGGTGGGAAACCCTTGTATAGATAACACAAAATTAATAGCTACAAATATTTTATGAATCCTAGTTTTATAGATTGATCAATGGAGAGAGGATAAATTAATGCAGTAGTCGGCAAATCGCAGTTGCGAGCTGCATGCAGCTCTTTAGCAGCCTGAGTGCGATTCGGCCAGTCGACCACAAATTGGTTTTGACTCCAAAAAATCATAGTTCTTGACAGATTTCGAAAAGAAATTTGTCTTTCAAAAATTTGTTTTATCATCATACTGATGATATTTGGCTCTTTTGACTAATGAGTTTGACGACCACTGAATTAGTGCATTAGAAAAGGAGGACAGAACACACAGCAGGCAACAAGCCAGCCCACCCTCTGGCAAACAGAAGTCCAACGGACTGACAGTCAAGTTTGTTGGACAAAAATATATTGATAGATAGAAGCATAAAAGACAGCCTGTATTTTTAACCGCCAATACCACAGCTTCTGAGCTGCTGATTAAAATGGGCAGGCAGAGTTCAAGACTTTGTTATTATTTGTGTAAAATATAATGCTAGGATTAATTTTTTTTTAATAATACCGTAATAGATTGACAACAATCACTGATAATGGTAGAGCAGTGGTTCTTAACCTAGTTGGAGGTACTGAACCCCTCCAGTTTCATATGCGCATTCACCGAATCCTTCTTAATAGGAAAACTAAAAATATGATTTTTTTTCTGATTTTTTTTGGACCTCCGCCGAACCTCTGAGACTGACTCACCGAACCCCTGGGGTTCGATCGAACCCAGGTTAAGAACCACTGTGATAGAGTAAAAAAACAAGTGAGAGTTCATGAGAATGTTTAGTGTCAAAAGGAGGACCACAAAAGCTAAGATTTGAGATGGTTTAACAGGTTAAACAGTTTATATTAAGCACATCAGAAGTGTCCTACAAGTTTGGCAACTAAAGTTGCATGATATTGTAAATCCTTATGAAAGAAAATGTAGAAAACAAAAGTATGGTTTTGGAGCCAGCTTGTCCTCGAAGACTTGAAGCAATGTATGGTAATTGTACATCCACAAACAGGCAAGTTGTGTGGAAACAGCTTGATAAGCACTGAGAACAATTCATCTCAAGAGATTTTTAACAAAAGGCATGGGAATTAAAAAAAATTATCAAGGGAGCTTATGTGACAAAGAATAAGCTAATATGAAGTCAATCCATTAATGACGTCATGCACTGAGGGGAGGGGGGGGGGCTCACAAATTTGTGATGATCTATTGCGAGGGTAGCCTGTATATAAATTATTTGTCGATGGAGCGAGCCAAAAATTGAGTTAAAATAGTATGACGTCACTTAAGGATGGCCACTATTTGTTTTAAAAGGATAGTGCTCCAGCCATTCTAGGACAGAGCAAATCTGAATAGTTTGCAGATGGTTTAAAATGATTTTCTAAAAACCCAAGCTTATCAGTACCGTAGCCCTATAATGATGGTTCTGGCAAGATTTGGGTTGTAATTGAAGCAGTCAAAATGTTCCTCAGGATAAATTCCTAGGTACACTTGTTAAGCTATATCATCTGGATAAACTGTGTTTATTGTAAGGCTTTCATTATTTATTACCACAGTACTGATACCGGTACCATAGATAACCTGAATAAATTCGATTTTAGATTTCAATAGTGAACATAATCTTACCAACTATAGTAATAATAAATACAATAATTCAATAATGTTGTTGAGTCACTGATAGACTTGAGACAAGTCCATTGAATTTGAATCGGTCAAATTTTACACATTTTTCTGCCCTTTCAACACAAGAAGATCCAGATTTATTCAAATGAGACCTAATAGTCATAATGTACCCAGTATCTTTTCTAACTCCTGTGCTGCATTAGATTGAAAATGTCATCTCATTGACATTTAATACGCCTATTGAACTTTTATTTTTAGAAATTCAGTTATTTGAGTGGGTTTGAAGGAGCAGTGCATCTTGAAAAAAACTTATTTTCAATACTGCTCAGTTTAAAAATAAAATTGAATGAATTGAAGTCTAGAATAATGGTTGTTATTTGCACAAATTTCTAGATATTGTAAACAGGAATAGATGATGTTTGGGAGCACCTAACCCTGTTAAGCTGTACTTTCAATAGTGACAACACGTATGAAAAAAACAACAACTTTAACACATGAATATTTAGAAAGTCTAGAGAGGTGAGCAGATTTTTAAAAATGCAAACTAAATTCTAAGCCAAATATCCTACTATAGAAGTAGATCTAATTATTAAAATTTTATTCACTTTACCTATAAGGTAAGATCATGAAGGAAAACAAAAATTATTTTTGGAGAGAAAAGAGCATAATGGGTTGGTGCATATCATTTCCGCTTTCATATCATTTGTGGTTGTCATGGTTTGGCTAAGTAAACATGGATTGGATAACGTCACCATGAATTGAGAGAATAATAATTATTCAGAGTAAAAGCACTGTATACATTTTATTTTCAGAACTATATTATTCGGTCTGTTTTGATTAACCCTACTTAACTTACCGGAATCGAGACACAACAAACATGTTTTTGGAACCTACTCAAATTGGTAAAAGTAGACGGCAACCAAGGGCAAGCTACTGTTTTACAAAAATTTGAACGTACGTTATCCCATTTAGCTTATGCATAATGATACAGCAAAAACGGCCTTCAAAATATATTAATTTAACGTTTCAAATTTTTTAAAATTCAGTTTATAATTTTGTTAGCTTTGAGCAAATCTATATGACCTCACTAAAACCACCTTCAACCAAGTATAACGATGAGATTGCAACATTGAGCGTCTTTCACCATTCAAAATATGGTAGTAAAATTCTATAGTGTAGCCAAAAAATCTTGATACTGGTATCATCTCTTAACATTTTGATAATGCTTGAAATTAATTGATACACGCAGGCCAACAGTGTTTGATGAGATGCATCCCACTGACCCCAGGGGGTGGTACCACCTATTTTGAGAGCCACTGGCCTAAATCACGTTGTCACTTGAGCAAGTAAATGAATCATGAAAACTCATCCTGATTATAAACAATTGGTAACCAACGGTACTGTCTTGCTCTATTTCTAATGATGAAAGCATTAGACTTAGTGCCATCCATCAATTATGTCAGCAATTTTGCCGATTCACCCCCCCATCTCCCTCCCCATCACCCCACAAATTTAGACACCCCCCCCCCCCCCCCCACCCTAATACAACATCACTCATTTCTGCTACCCCCCCCCCCTTCCCACAATAAAAATTGCATGTCCACTACTGTCCATTAAAAACCTTTGAGAAATTCACCTCCCATGGATTTCAAATTACAGCACCTTTCACTAGAACTAAAACAGTGGTTTATAACCAGGGGTAAAAGTACCTCCCTAGCCTTGAGGTGTAGAAGACCAGAAAATTGTGCTTGCTCCCATTGCTTAATTGTTGCTATTTTTTATACCAGTTTTTTTTTGCATTTTGATTAGTAGCAGTAAATGTTTTTCTGCTGAAATTATTATTATTTTTTATTTTATTAAATTTTAATTTATACAGTTTGGGGGAAGGGGTTGGGGGTGTTAAAAACGGAGTGGGCCTACAGCCCTGCAAAATGTTAAGAATCAGAGCAGTGGTCGGCAAACTCATTAGTCAAAAGGGCCAAAATACAACAGCAGGAAATTTTTTTAAATTTGAGTGCAAAATATCTTTTTAAAAACCAGTCAAGAACCATGTTTTTGGGAGTCAAAACCGATTTGTGACGACTGGCCAAGCCACACACATTTTGCTAAAGAGCCGCATGCAGCAACCAATGCCCTAGAGCATTAACTAAGATCCCTCCCCCACCCGGGTCATTTTTTTCTTTCCATCCCACTTTATGTGGTAGTCCTAATTCTATGACTCCCGTCTCCACATTTAGACATAAATTCTCTTGACCCTCTTAGTCACTACACCTATTTTCTCCCCCTCTGTGACAATCTGTAACTTTATCAGAAGCCATTTCTGGGACCTCGCATACCTGTTCTGATTCTCATAGTGATCGTAGTTTAAAAAATAAATAAGTATAATTGTTGTATAAAGAAAAATGTTTAAAATGTCTGTTATTTCAGGTTATTAGGTGCAATTATTTGCTACAAGATTCCGCTTTTCATGTGACATCATATTGCTTAAGGCCCTCCTATACCTCGTCACAAAAATATGACAACCCCCCCCCCCCCCCCGATGCTTGACAACATTTATGTACTTTGTTAAAAAAATAAACATTTGAAATTATAAAAATGTACCGGTAAAAGTTTTATAGAGCAAACTTTAAAAATGAAATAATATCTGTTTTTAATATTTTACTATGGATTCACCTTCACATTTTGTGACCTGATTATGTTGATTGTGTCACACTATAACTCTTGTTTAAATTATGATTTTATACAACTTATTTTCAGGATTAATGCTAGATATTAAATGTTCCAATTTTAAAATTAATGAATTAATGTTACAATTTTTATGCAATTATAAATAAATTGTATTTATCTAGCTATGTAATATGCATTAGCAGTAAATTTAATATATATAATATGGCTGTTCTGTTTACCAGGTCTAAGGCATCCATTATATATTCTCTCTCCGTTGATGAAGAGATAAATATCAGGATTGCAAAAGCAGCAGCAACTATGGCTAAACTGAATAAGCGGTGTGGAATAATCTCAATCTAACTGATAAAACAAAAATAAGTGTCTATCAGGCATGCATGCTTAGCACGCTCCTATATGGTAGCGAAGTGTGGACCACATATACCAGCCAGGAGCGGAAACTCAACAGCTTCCATCAAAGATATCTGCGTCGCATTTTGCGCATTCGTTGGCAGCACAGGGTGCCTAACGTGGAGGTTTTGGAACGTGCACACATGTTCAGCATATTCTCCTTTCTGATCAAGAGGCGCCTTCCTTGGTTAGGTCATGTACGGAGAATGGAGGAAGGACGTATCCCAAAGATACTGCTGTATGGAGAGTTGGCAGAAGGGACAAGACATATTGGACGACCGCGCCTGAGATTTATTGACGTTTGCAAACGAAGCATGAAGGAAGCCAATATTGAAACAAACGAATGGGAGTTCATTGCCGAACATCGCTCCAACTGGCGAACAGCAGCGTTGAAGGCGTAAAAAAGGCAGAAGATACTCGAAACGAGGCCCTTGAATCAAAAAGAACAATTCGGAAATCAAGAATTTACCGGGATTCAATATTCTCCTGCGAGAGATGCGGCCGTGATTGCCATTCTAGGATTGGCCTAGTGAGCCACTCGTCAAAGTGTAGAACTATATAGCTACTCCATCGACTCACGAAGATATATATATATATGGCATCCTTCCGCCTTCGTATATATCTATATCTATATATATATATATACATATACATATATATATATAAATATATATATATATACCGTATTTTCCAGCGTATAAGACTACTTTTTAACCACTGAAAATGTTTTCAAAAGTCGAGGATTGTCTTATTTGCTGTGAGTCGTCTTTCTTTCAGCTTTAGAGTGAATAAGTAAAAGTTTAATCCACTTGCACTGTTTTATGTTTACATGTTTGATGGCAAACAGCCTTATGTTTATAAGTTACAGTTTTCCTGCTAAGTACCTGAATGTCATAAGCATTCGAATTAAAATTACCATATTGAAATCAAATCTGATGTTTTTTAATTTTTATTTGGTGTGCGTTGGACGAGGAGTAGTCTTATAATATAAGTTATATGGGGAGTATAGCTCAAACCCTATATTTTAACAACAAAAGTAGGGGGTCGTCTTAAAGCATACGGCCAGTCACCTGAAAATACTGTATCCGGAAATTTGTTTGAAACAGAATTTGATAGAACAGAAGTTTGGTCGATTTTTTTTTTCATTTTACACTATCAAATTTTGAGTCAAATTTATTTTTGAACGCATTATTTTGTTTTACTATGTGGTAATAGTATGGTGCATTTCATCATGTGAACTGGGAAAAAAAATTTGACCAAACTTCCGTTCAACCAAATTTCTGTTCAAGCAAACTTCTGTTGATCAATTTTCCGTTGACCAAATTTCTTTCAAACAAATTTCCAGTAACCGGAAAATACTGTATATATAGTCTTTGTAAGGCAAGGCATCCCCCTAAAAATAATACTGGTTAGGGGCTACTTATTTTGAACTTTTAACTTTTGCACAGACTAATTAATTAAGTTAAAGCTATATAGAATATATAACAGTATAATATATGAGGTAGACTAGGTATCAGAAATAAATTTAGTGATAAAACATATATAGGTTACAATTTAGTTATAATTCCATAAAATTGTTAAAATTACTTTTTAAAATTAGAACTTTTAATATTGGATTAATAAATCAAATAACGCAAACAGCAAAATTGCATCTAAGAATTTTGAGATGTTAACCATGGTAAAAAAAGACAAACAAACTCATACTTAGAAAGTTCATAGCTTAAAAACTCCTAAAAATAGTTATTTTATTCTGGTTTCATTATTTTATCTGAAATTTGCTTTAACCCTTGAACTGTGGCATGCATCATTCTGTTGTGTGGGAGCTTTTCAGAGCTTTTTGAAAGCCTTTTGAAATTGCATTAACTTTAACCCATTCAATACGTCACAATTTTTTTAAGGGAACGCAGTAAAATTTTGGGACTAAAATTCTATTTGACCTGATGATTTTAAACTGAAAAGCTCCGTTTTGCTATTTATCAAAATCATATCATGCTGCATATCCAAATGTAGGTAATTGAAAAAGGAATATGTTTCTAGTATAAAAAAGTGATAAAGAATTACCCAAAGAAAATTTTTTTGGGTATTATTGCAGGTTTATGTAAAAAATTATTTAACATTTTTTTTTTTTTGCTTTACTCACCAGCTCAGAAATCAGGTAACAATAATCCAATCAAATTCATATTTTCTTAAAATGAGTCTTATGATATATCCAAAACAACTGGAAAGTTTCATTGCAGTAGCTCCAGAAATTGTAAAGTTATGAATTTCTTTCCCAAGACACGTGTTAACATTTTTTTTTCAAAAATTCAACAATAAAAATAGTTATACTCAAATATTTACACATATTTCACATATTTACTAAATATATACACAAATGAAGCTATTATTTTAAATGAAAGGCCTTGAAGCATCCTTTAGGATGGAGATGGGGTTTGGCTTCACACCCAGTACAATAGAAATGTGTGCGTACTCGCTTTGTTGCAGTTGAGCAATATGCGCAAGATCGGTCCCTTTCATCATAATCAATCAATAACATAGAAATATTGATACAAGTTAAATGCAAGACCCCAATAAGTATATATTTTTAGAAAGGTAAATAGATGGGGATTAATTTGACTATATTGCCCACCATGTAAGAAAATTTTGCTCAGTGTCCTTGACCTTGGAGTGCTCAAGAAAAAAAATATAGACAAAATGTCTTGCTTTCAAGTGGTCATAACATCATTATTTTTTATAGATACCGGTACACTTAAAACACTAATCTAAATGTTGTAGCCATTTCATTTATCTTTCAGAAAATGTATAGTTTGCTAAGGTTTTGATTACAATTAAATCTCTGAAAGCAATTTTAGTAATTTTAGGTCATTTATATAAGAAATTGGCACCACAGCTAAAACTAAAACCAAGTACAAAATACAAAATCTAAAGGCAAAATACAAAAAAATAAAAAGTTATTATTGACTAGTAAACATTTAAAAAGGAAATGTGGAACTGATTTGAGTTAACTATAAAATTTATTTGTTCTGATCTATAATCTGTAGCTTCTGTTACTAAAATTCAGTCAGTCCTTGCCAACCTCCGGGCCTGGCTCGAAGTCTAACAGTGGGCCTACTTCAGTATCACTAAGACTAGTATAAGATTCATCAGAAGAAGAATCTCAACTGATATCAATATCGTCATGGGGAATGTTAAAATCATAATCAGTATCCTTAAATCCTCTCCTAAAAAGATTTTAAAAATATTTATATTAGTTCTTGCACTGAAGGCCCAGCCATAGCTTCAACCATTTTAGCTTTTAAAAAAGCAGCGATATAAAACTCTGATTAAAAATACTTATTGTTAACTTATCAAGAAACAGCTTGAATCAGAAAATGATTTAATCTAAACTAATGAAAGGCAATCCCCTCACTCACTCACTGAATGACTCATCAGTAATTCTCCAACTTCCCCTGTAGATAGAAGCCTGAAATTTGGCAGGCTTATTCCTTATACTGGCAAGATGGTGATTTCCGCATCAAGATAAATATAGCTTGTGGTCATAAAGAAAGTTACAAAATTAACAGAAACCTTTCGATCGCCGGCAATGTCTAGCAAAATTTGGTACCGGATATTTTCCTGTTCTACTTTGTGTATCACGTGATCTAGCCCTGACCTTTGAATAAAATGAGCATTTTGATTGGTTCCTATGTAGGAAATCTGTTTGTAATGATTACTTCTGGTATAAACAAACCCTTGTTTATTTCGTGAGGCCTGGCAATTTGGATATGTCATTTGTCACAAATAAAACCATTTGAGGAGTTAAATAAAACTAGATAAGTATACCAATAACCAAACAGAATGAGTTGGCTTAAATTATTTTTTCGTAATAGACAAGATTAATTCCTCTCCTTTTACGGAGAAGACTAAGAAAATGAGTACACTAAACTACTAAGACTAAAGATGCCTAGGCCTATTCACTTCAAGTTCAAGCATCGCTAGGCTACTTCACTGCAGGTAGAAGATAGAAAAATACCATGCCAATAATAATGGTAAGTAAGTCTTAGAAATCAAATCTATTTTTCACTTATATTCAAATTTAAAGTAAGTTATCAATTATTCAACAGATGTCCCGGGCGCCAGCTAGTTAGGGGCGCCAAAATGTGTTTTGATATTATTTTATTGATGAAAATAATGTGTTTGAGAGTTGAAGAAAAGAAAAAGGGGCGCTAAAAATGGATCCTTTCCCCGGGCGCCAAACACCCTCGCTACGCCACCACTGTGCTGTACTCACTATAGTATAGACCAATGAATATAAATGAAGGCTATACTTATTCTTTTATACTTTTTTCTTATTAGTAGTAAACACTGTTAGTTTAGTGATAATGAACAGTAGTAAAAATAAAACTTATAATAAACAATTTATGAATTTAGTAATTGTGACATTCGACTTACACTTTCCTACATTTCTATAGCTATTAAAATAGTAAAGTATTAAATTTCTCATTTTTCTTCTTATCGCAGCACAAATGACATTGTCATTAGTGTTATTTTATTCTAAAGTAAAATAAGAGCCTTAACAATTTTGCTTGTCAACAAGTATGACCTTTCAGTCATTAATGTCCTTGTAGCCTTATATTTGTGTTAAGAAGCATTTGATACAAATATCTAACTATAAGTTTATTGTTTTCAGGATTGATTGAAGAGATGCGCAATGAGTTTGCGGAACACAACATGTATTATATTTCCTGCTGATAAACTACACAGATCTGTTGTGCTTTAGTCCATTTAGCCCAAATTACAATTCCTACATGAAAAAGAGTGCCCTAAGTAAAATTTCCAATTGTTACAGATTTCTGGTCGCAACATATGTTCGATGCATTGAAATAAAAGTAACCTCAGGCAGAGGATGCAAGAGAAGACTAACACAGATTACATCACAAGGCTCTTTATGTGTTATTCAAGGACTAAAGAATAAGACAGTAGTTGAAAGGAACATATCAATAATTCTCTTGTTTCAACATTGTATCTCAAAGTGATGTGATTTTCAACATTATTAGTGTTAAAATTTGATACAGTAACTAATTATATTTTACAATGGAGTTATTGCTCATGAGTTTTCTGGCTCACACAAAATACCTGTAAATATGCTTTTGGAAAAAATACATGGTGCAACTCAAATGATTCAAAAGTTGTGAGACAGAAATCAGAAAACTTACAGCTGTCAATATTCATTTGGTCATTAGAGCTCATAGAACTTACAATGTTTTTTACAAGACCAGGAGTTGTATTTTCTAGCATACATGGACAATGCCAAATAACTCTTTGGAATTGCATTTTCACATAGCTTAATTTTATGGTTTTGCACACTTTTATAATGATTAAATTCTCCAAAATAAGCGAACTATTACTTTTTCGACAAAAACAGAATAATAGATAAAAATACATCAATCGCAGGGAAAAGTTGAGTGGTCAGGAAAAAAGACAAAAGGTCCTGGAAAAGGATAAATAATGTCCACAAAAGGCTAATAAAAACGTTTTTATTCCAATCTGAATTAAAATTTCTTATTTTTCATTGATATTTTCATTGTTTTTGTCATTTTTCTTCATTATTTCAGTTTTCTTGTTTTCAACATTTTTGGTCACCAAATCCCTATAACTTTTATATTTACTATCCAAACCTCACCAAACTTTCACAGTATGTTTAGTGACCAATAATAAACATTTGAATAACCTATAATTAAGATTACTATCTTAGAAAAGAAAATATGTAAAAAAGAATTCACCCACACCCCTTTTTTGGCATAAAAAATTGGGGGTCACTGTTGATTTATAAATAGTCATTACATCAAAAAATCCTGTTACATAAAGTTTTATTATAGGTTAAATAATCTATGTTTAAAATCTGATAGCAATAACTTAATATTTGTAAAAGCCTTAGTATTTTAAAAAACACTAAAAAAAATTTTAATTTTTAATGGGCTACAAAGGCAATCAATGGAATTTTTTTGGGGTAAATGATGAGTGTGGATGCCATGATTGGCCGCCATATTGGTTGAGAAGACCACTTAATTCTGTCACAAAATTTAAGTAATCATATCCCTAAACCTAACCTGAACCCTAATACACTGCAACTTTCATAAACACCGGAAAGACATTGTGGCATCCACAACTATCATTAGACTTTTTGGCAATCATCCAGTCCGGTCCCAAATTATTTCCAATGATTACTCCTTACTTAAAAGTCTTAGGCATCATTTTGTTTTGAAATTCATGTTTGCCGTAGTGGATGATGTTGGATGGAGGTTGTTGGCCGTCGAGATGCACAAACACTCGAGCTTATTATCACTAATTATGTGTTACCAGGGACCTCTAGCGACACAGACGCTTGGCGAGCATATCAAAATGTTGGTCAGCTCAACAACAGGATTTATGCTCAAACTGTCATTGTGCCCGCGCATGAATTTGTTGATCCAGTAGACCAGGTCATTCACACAGAAACTGTATATTGAAGGACTTTGGATGCAAGCGAGACGTAAACGCCGCTATCAGAGTGGTACTTGTCGGGGTCTGTTTGCCAGCTACTTGGGGGCCTTTCATTGGCACAGTGGTCACAAGCAGACAGTTTTCGGCTGCTATTTGGAAGCGCTATGTGCCAACCAATTACAATATTTATTATTTACTGACTGCTTTGTAAAGTGACAGTTATTTGCAAAAGATATGACTGACATTCATGCATTTTTCTAACAATACACACTGTGTATTGCAATGTTCTTCATACAAAATAATTTGGACTGGACTTTGGAGAATTGCCGCCTTTTTTTTTTAAAACCTGTTTTGTACCTCCATTAGAATAACAAATAAGGTAGGTACTTTGATAACAAAATTAAAACTTTAAAAAAAATAAACCAATGTCATAGTTGAATAGAGCTAATTTTTTAAAGAATTATAACACTAAAATCATATTTTTAGCTGTTGTAGTTTTAAAGTTATGAATTTTTATTGTACGACTTAATTTGTCCTTATTTAACATGGACCGCATCTCCATTTTGTGGGACCCGATTCCGCTGTTCGCGTCACGAGCTATAAAACTCTTGTTTTAATGATAATTTTATTTTCAGAACTAATGCTGTATTAAAAAAATAAGTTTAATAATGTTAACAATTATAGAAAAATTGTAGCTTATCTAACTATGCACTATTTATATCAGTAAATTTAATATAATGTATTACTATTTGGCTTTTCAGTTTACCAAATCTACGTCATCCATTATACCGATATTTGCTACATAGTCTATATAAATATAAGGCAACTCATGCCCTGATTACCGAAATACTGTTTGGGAACTATTGAACTTTCAACTTTGGTACATGACTAAGTAATTGAAGCTTTCCCTGACCAAGTTTAATAGTTTTTGAACAAGGCAAACTTTCATGAATGAAAACTCTGAGATAGCAGTAAATAATAGCAATTATGCAAGTATACCCCCATGACATTTTGCACACAGCGAATTTTGATCATTTATAAAATGGACTCTGCCTGGTTTTTTAAACTCAAATTAAAATATTATTCTTTTAATAACATTTAAATTCATTCTAAAACATAAGTTATCAAATATTTTGATGTAAATAGTGGAAATAATTAAATATTTCCTAAGTAACTGCGTTTTCCGCCACTGAAAGGGGGGCTTGGCCACTTCCTTATCGAAATTGGGCTAAGCTACATTACCATATAGGGGTTTACTCAAGTGAGCATAACAAGTGAAAGACATGTCCTAACTCGATGAGAATTGACACAAATACACATCGATAGATAATACAGAATAAAACTTTTTTTTAAACACATAAAAATTGAACTTCTGTACGAATTTTATAGTGAAAGATGCCTTACATTTAAAGGGGAATCTCAAAATACAGGTCGATTGAAAAATTAAAACAAATCAATGTAAATGTAGGCCAAGATGTCTACCTAAATATAAGGCCAGAAATGGAACTCAAATATATTTCAAAAGTACTCATTTAATAATAAATAGACACACACATCGGAAAATTAAAAACTCAGATTTTTCAGCGCCGATTGCCAGTTCTGATACACAAAAAGTAGTAGCCTCCCTTGGTTTACCGAAGTATCTAAAATAAGGTGTAGGTTAAAAAAATCCTGTATGATGCCAACAAAAATTTTAGATTTTTCACCCACACCTCCCGTTAACGAAGTTCTATGAGGTAAAAATGAATTTTAAAATAATAAAAAGCACTAAAATAAGGGATTACCGCCAGTTTATGCATAAAGACTGTAACTGTATGAGATCATTCAATTCCCTATACGTAGTATAAGTTGCCTATGCCTATGGCCTATACTATAAGAATATCTATCGACTATACTATAAGTTATAGTTTTATATTTGTAAATAATTAGTTTATGACTAATTAATTAAAGCTCACCAAAAATAGTTCAATAGTTTTTGCACACAACGAACAAAAATACCATATATTTTTATTTGAAATGACCGAGATCTTTGATAGGACGTGCACTTATTCTTCAACTTGACAATTGCAGTGGATGTGTGAAAAATTTTGTTTAAAACCCGAGGCCAGGGCTGCCACTCACTTTTTAAATTTCCCAAGATTTGGTAATGAAATTTCCCAAGATTTCCCAAGATCATAAGAGTACATAGTAGGTTTTTTTTTAAAGGTGGGGGGGTGGGGGGAAGGGGGTTCCTATGTCCTTAATGCAATAATAGACTGAATTAATGCCCCTGAAACACATGGTACAATAATTGACTGAAATTTATTGAAAAAGACATTTTTTAAAAATGTTTATCACATAAAAGAAATAAACAATTTCTTTAAAAAAATAATTTATATTATTTTATTATTCAAAATATCAATACCCACTGGAGTTAGGCTACTAAATGTTACCTCCAAATTCTCTGGTAAAAATATCATCTACAATCCACGTGTAATCGAAGTCACTTGGAAACAAAGCTGACAAGGCTAATCAACACAGAATTCCTTTTACAAAGGCAAAAGGTTCATCATCAAAAAATGTGTTTTCTTATTGTAAGTCTGTTGATTAGTAATTGGGTTTGCAAAGCTATTAAGCAAAATGTGTTAATAATAGCTGTAGTTAAAATGGATTGATAGTTACGAAAGCAATAAGTATTTTTTTTTTTTTGTAAATTTACGTTATAATGATTTTTTTTTCAAACGAAATGCTGTTTAAAGGAATTTTTCATTTATTTCCTACAATGTATAATTTAAATATCTTAGTTACCTGTGTGTCAATCCACAAATATTTTTTCCAATAGATGAAAATTAGGCTAGATTTGTTAAAGGTGCATAATATTTTGAACACATTGTATAAGTAATTGAAATAATCCAATTTTACTATGGGTTCTTGATAGAACACTATCATT